GTTGCTTTGACACAATCTGTATTGTTAAAAGCGCTATATAAATAAAGGTGACTTGACTTGACTTGACTTACATTTGGGGACTGACAGACAAGAATTGCAATACAGCTTAATGTGATGATTAAACTTCAAAAGGCTCTGATTTCATTGAGTCTAAAAGTGAAAATGCAGTGCGGGTGTTTTTATATGAATGCATCTCTGAAGGGGAGTTTCGATGGCATTTATTTATTCTTTCCTATAATGCCTGATAAAGCAGCATTTATGAGCACAGCACTGCTTTGTGTGCAGCCATTATTGGGAAACCACTATATTTCTGTCGTTCCAAAAGCACCACCTGCTGGCAGAGAATGAATGTGCATCACTGATCATTACACAGATCAGTGATTTGCATTTTCAGTAAGCCCGTCTGCCATTTATGTTCAGACCAATGCGAATATCGACCCATATTTTTAAAGCACCAAACACGTAGAGTTGTAAATGTGAAAGAAGCTAATGTGCCTTCTAAAAATCTAAACAATTAAGACACTAAGATATATGTTTATGTTTTAAATTAATATGACAATGTATATGTTTGACTCATCCCTTTTCTTAATGGTTTAAAGGCTGAAATGTGACTATCATTTTACAACACTTTTGTTTTTGTGAAAACCTGTATCTGAACTGTAAATCATGTCATTTTATGGTTTAATATGTTACCATAGACATTGCCCAACCCCACTCATACGGTGTTTTCATTTCATTTTATTTGTCTTAAAAAGGGTCATACAAACAATTACACTGATTTCTTATTTTTTTAATCTTCAGATACCCTGTAAAATAAAATTCCTTCCTTGATATGTGTGAAAATGTTTTTGATTGACATTTCAACACCTACCCAATTTTCTATATATATATATATATTTTTTTTTTTTTTGTTGTTGTTGTTTTGTTTTGTTTGTTTGTTTGTTTGGGCTAGTTAAAATAATTTCCAGCTACCAAAATCTGCCTGGCCGAAGGGCTACCAGAGATTTTGAAATTTTGCGAACCCTGATTTCTTGTGTATATGAATATTTTATGAGAAAAACATTAATTAACCTACATTTTTCCTGTTCCATGAAAGGCAAAGTCATTTCTGGGGTGGAATATGAATATTTACAAGATTAAATAAAACACTTTTGTGGAATAATGTACACTATTGTTCAAAGTTTGGGGGCAGTAAGATTTTTTTTGAAAGACCTTCCGCAAATATGCAATAAATTCATCAAAAGTGACAGTAGCTCCATTTCTGCTCTTTTGACAAAGAATCCTGAAAAATCTATATTTCCAAAAAAATATTAAGCAACACTGATAAAAAACAAAAAACAAATGTTTCTTGAGCACCTTACCAACATATCATTTCCCACTTCAGAAATAACAATATCAGATGGAATAAATCCATTTGTGCAGAAAAGATTCTCATGTCCTGACTATTTCCTAAATCATCCTCAGCATCAGTATATCATAAAATGTCATATAAATCAAGAAAATACAGAAATGAATTAAAGCCTTCATAAACAGTTTCAGTACATGTGCAATTCAGTTGCAAAGGACAAAGAATTTAGAGTCCTGGGTCGTGAAGCAAAACCACTTGAGATCCACTGATTTAACACACTCACAAAACCTGAACGTTTCGAGGATCAGAAGCCCAGCAAGGCACTTCTTCTCTGGCTGTGTGTGCAGCAGACTAGCGCCATGAAATTGGTTCATGTTTCTGTCTCTCTGGCTGCACTAGCCTCCTTCAGTTTGAGAGACCACACGACAAAAGCAGCCAACAACAGCTCTCTCTGAGAGGAGCTGAGGTGCTCTACAGTGCGGCTGTCAATACACCGTAATCTAATCTAGAGTATGTGACTCTCGTGCATGAGAGGTCATGCAGGTGCCGTATACTGCGGAATGCATTAAGCTTTTGACACTAAATGATAAACCACAGAGGAGCTTGAATATAACTCAATAAACTGTCAGTGCTTGAATACTTTCAACTGAAGTGTGAGCTAATGGATTTTAAATTATTAATTTTAAAATCACCAACCTCTTTTTATGCTTTTTGTCCACCTTTCTTTTACGTCTGGGACTCGAGCCACTGTAAAATAGGAGCATCTATTGATTAGGTTTAAATTAAAGGTCCCACAGGAAAGAAAATGAACAGATGAGATCTCTTTGCTGTTTCTGCTAGAAAACAATACGATTAAATGGATTCTGTATGTACAGATCCCTATATTCTTACAGTATGTCAATAATTGTGCCTTTTTATCTCTTAAATAATTTTAGGAGAAACATCTGGGATACTTAAATGATACATAACGGCAATCTCCTGAGCTATGAAAGAGGAACTCTGAGCAATAAAATCTTTCCCTGGGGTGCCATAAACTACTTAAGAGCACTTCACAATAATCATCAGGTATTATCTGTACTTTGTGAAAAGCACTGTGCCCTTTATTCTAGGAAAGAGCACTAAAAACAAACATTAAATAAATCTAAAATGTACCTGTGTCGTCCCTTCCTTGAGGCAGACCTAGAGGCAGAGAAGAGCAGACTTTAAAGGCAGTCATGAAAAAAAAAAAGAAAAAAGAAAAACACACACACACACACACCACACCACACCACACCAGCAAAGTGTACTCAAAGCAAACCTCTAAACATGATCTGATGTGGAAAATCAATCACTACCTATGTCGCTTCCTTTTCTTTGAGCTCTTCTTTTTCTTCTTCTTCCTCACAGGTGATGGACTGCAGGAGGGAGATCTGGAAGATCAAATATGGTCACATGTAGCGAAAACACATCCAGCATTCTGTTTTTTATAGTAACGCTTAAGGGAATATTTAGCCCATATATGATAATCTTGGAATGTGTTCCAAAGGCTTTTATATAATTGAATATACTTTCAAATAATTTAGAATATAGTTCAAAAGATGTGTGAATTTATTTATTTAAAATTCCTTTTGTTTCAAATTAATTATTTTCAAATGTACACAACTTTTACGCAAAAATATTAAGCAGTACAACTGTTTTCGACATTTATAAAAAATATTTATTGAGAAAATCAACATAGAATGATTTCTGAAGGATCAAGTGGATAAAGACTGGAGTAAAGGCTGCCAAAATTGCAGCTCTGCCACCATAGGAATATAAATAACATTTTAAAATGCATTCAAATAGAAATAAGAATATTTAACAATATTACTGTTTTCACTGTATTTTTGATAAATGAAATAAGCTTTGGTGAGAATAATAGACCTAAACTTCTTAACAGTAATGTATGATACACTATGATATGATACAGTAACAGTAGCATATGATAAGGAAGTAAATAATAAGGAATTGTAGACATATGCATTGATGACATACAGTATGTTTTGCAGATTGGAGAGGCTTTTAAAGTGAATGAGATTCAGTGAGTGAGAATCTGCTGGCACACAAAACCCAAAGGCAGCAAGAAAACAGAATGTCTAAAATTTAAAGAAATGTAAAAGCCTTTCCTTAAAGCGTAACAAGCTGAGAACAGTTTGAGTGTGCTTTGATACTTTATGACACAAACACACTGTTTATTGTTCACTCGTGTACTTTGTGAACTGTGTGACAATTAAAAGCTGTTGTTGGATATTGATTAAATACAGCATGAAATTGTTCTATCTATCTGAACTGTATGACATTGTCAATTTTGTTGACTGCTATATAAAAGATTATTGTTGTGACATGATTTCTTTTTTTTTTTGGCTGACCTGTGTCTCCTCCTCTTTCTCTGTGACTTCTTCTTCTTTTTCTTTGCTTTAGGCACCGGCCGAGGGGAAAGATCAGCATCAAAAGAGACACTGGAAAAGCAAACACAAGAGAGAACACATTTTTCAGAATCTATGTCTGTTATTTCATTTTATAGGTCATGCAAAGACAATTATTCAATAGTAAGCGCTTGATGAATGACCAGTCAATCACTGTAAGCAAAGGTCAGGGTTAAGTTAATCAAACGCTGATTGATTTCTAACCGTAAAAATGACAGAAAGTTTCTGAAATGGAAAAAGTAGACAGCTGTGCATACAATTATTTCTAGAGGCACCGAACTAATATTCTTGGATGTACTGAATCCACTGTTCTAGCAACACAAGCTTATTGAGAAAAAATTTAAAAAATTAAAAAACCTGCCGGTGGCGGCATTTCAGCAAAATGACATTACATTGCTTCTTGCACACTTCTCGCTACACCTTCAAAGTGAAATGTCCAATGAGTGGCGCTAAAAGTGTGTTCCGTTTAACCCGAAACTGATGAATGTGAATCTAGCAATATTTTATTACGTTGGTTGTTTCATGGCTGTTCGGAAATCTAACCGTGTGTTCTATAATGTTTAAAAATAATGTCCTACTTAAATTAAATCATACGCTAAACCTAAGCGATACTGATGTTAACTAAAGCAAACGTGAGATAAAAATGCACTTGCTGAAGCAATCATTCCATTTTAGCTTGTTTCTACAAGTCTATGAGCTCTTTTAGCATGATTGTCCACATCGCAAGTGCAACCCTGTACCAGGTGAGTGACCAAGCACGTCTACAGTGTTAGAAAGCCATACATATGGAGCTGGTTATGCAATGCAAACCTCAAAATGCATTCGTTTACAAATCATGCACTATGGTAAAAGTGTTCTACAGTCATAACATAGTATTGTGCAAGGAATTGCGTCTTTATTAATCAATAATTAGTGTTTTATTGCCACAAGTGTTCATTTCAGCTGCTAACTGCAGTGAATTAAATGCACAGTTTTGGGAGTTTTACAAAAATGTAGGTAGAGGCACATTTCTTCAATGAACCTATGGCAATCCGTCACCCAAAACATCTAAATTCTTAAGAACAGAAAAGGCACTTGGTAAAATAGAGGTTAAAGAGGAAGGACGCATCAAAGCAGAAAGGAGAGAAAGAAATAGAAAGCTGCATGCTCGGACAGGTAGCTTTTAAAATCAATTTACTTTTAGCAGCAACACTTCTGCAACAACAAAGCAGAAGATCAGAGAGAATGGACGGCGTGTCCTGATTGAGTGGGACATGTGTGCCGTTTCAAAAGCACCGAGGTGTCACCTCAAAAGCGTCTTTTAAAGGCAATAACATCGAGGGAAGTGCAAGGAAGGATTTGAAGCTTAACAGAGAGATACCACACTGCATCTACTACTGAGAGTCTCGATTCCTCGGGAAAGCAATTCAAGTGCAATCATCAACAGGGAGACTATTCACAGACAGCAGACATGTATATCACACGTTTTCAATGTTTACTAAAGCATGGGGCGCAACTGTTATTATTTTGATTGCAGCGATGGCCACACACCACTCTCATTCCATCAGGAACGGCAGAAGATTCAATCAAAAGTGGGTGTGAAACGCTTTACCCAAACCACCAATATTGCAGATTCAAACCGAAGGGAAGAGGCGAGCTGAATGAGTTACAGGCATTTTTCAAGCGAATTGCAAAGGTTACATTTCCGACTCCCAAAACAAAGGGGATTTATCAAATACAAAGACCGGAAAGCTGGAATGAGCAAACACTATTCCCGCTGCCCCTATCTTATTTAGCCACATCAAATAATGTCCTTCCATCACTTTTAATCCTTTGAACCCCCCCCCCCAAAAAAAATCTATTAGATGCTTCAAAATCCTCAATCTGTACCATTCAAACACTGATAAGGCCCATGGAACGGAACAGCTGACCTCTATAATATTTTCAAAGGCAGATTTTCTGATACTGACCCTATTTATATCAAAGAGACTCATTTTAGCTCGCTATATTAAGCTTTAAATGCTCTGTGACCGAAAGAGCTTGTCTCGTAAGAATTAGCAGAGTGGAGGTAGGAGGGATAGAACATTGAAAATGTAATGCTTTTTCCTCTGTGGAGGTATGTGTACACTAAATAGCTCTTTCACATAACATAACATCACAGACTGTCAGAATGACATGCATCTGACAGGCAGCAATGAAAATATAAAGCATGGAAGAAGGTATACAGGATATCCATGACCAATACACATGACTGGTGCAGGTTAAAGGAACGGTGGAAGCGGCAATGAGATTTCCTTCTTGCGGCACATCGCTACAGCAGGATAATAATATTTCATAGACACAGGGGAGTGCTGTCCGTGTCAGTCCATGAATTACAGACTGTTGTAGCTTTGGCTTTGCCCAGCCAGTCAGTGATTCAATATGAGCACTGAGAGGAAACCATTTAGACGGATCAAAACACAGACGGAGAGCCAGGCTGGTTGCGCGGATGTGCTCACGGGGGAGCGGGCTGCTCACTCGCTCTCCGAGGGTGGAAAAGGCTGTTTGGTCTGATATAGGAATAGTTCATCCAGCCATTGCTGCATTTGCAAGTCTGAAACTCATTAGAAGCTGATTAGCATAAAAGCAAGTGCCATTTCTGCTTAATTATAATTGATTGTAATGCTTTTTTCCTCAGTTGGTCAGAACAAACATGGCAGACTTGTTACTTACTTGTTCAGATGACAATATCCAGTGAAAATTCTTATTTTCAAGACATAGGCTAGAATCTGTGAGTGCGAAGTACATTAAATATCCACACCGGTGCGGTGACTGACTGCCACACACACATACTCCTCAAAACATTAGATTCATCCGCGCTGGAAGCCTAGCCGGTGTTGTGCCAAATTCTGACCCCCGCCAGATTATTACCCCCCTAGTATTGGTAGGTAATCAGAAGATGTTACTGTAGTTCTAAAATAAACATGAATATGCATGAATTCATCTCACTCACACACACACAAAAAAAACACAGATTCAGTATTCCTTAAAATTAATAAAAATAATGCAACTCAGAATATGACGCAAACCTGCAATAATTAATGTTAATGTTAAACAGATTGTAATGCATTACTTTTAAAAGTAACTTTCCCCAGCACTGGGTATAGGGTTAGGTGTGGGGGTGAGGTTAGGATTAGGCAATCAGATTTCAACCTTAAGGGGTAATAATTTGGCAGGGGGTTGAAAATGGGCACAACACCGGCGCACAACACAAGCAAGTAAGATAATTCCGCAAGCAATTGCAAGTTTTCAAACAGAGATGGCGACAAAGAGGCAAAACTTACGGACTTTAAATAAATTATCCTAAAAAAATTGACCAGTTATGACAAAAATGATCTTTTTTAAGAACCATTGTCAGCTTACGGTGCATTTTACCGCAAGCAATTGCAAGTTTTCAAACAGAGATGGCGACAAAGAGGCAAAACTTACAGACTTTAAATAAATTATCCTAAAAATATTGACCAGTTATGACAAAAATTATCTTTTTTAAGAACCATTGTCAGCTTACGGTGCATTTTAGATCAGTTACAATTAGGGGGTCTCAATAGTCCAGTATTGATAATAGCCTATAAATACAATGATATATATAAAAAAAATGAAACATTGAAATGATGTAAATACTACACGTATTATAATAGTGTTAATAATCCAGCACCAATAACTATTCGGTTGACACTCCAGCATAGACGGTGGCGGAATTGCACTTTGAAGCGTGTTGTTGCCTGTCAAAAAAAGGCAGTGTGGTGTTACTACTGCTGCACAAAATCATGACGGACGGAAGCAAGACACCTGAAAAAAGTAAGTTTGTCACTGTGTGACTGATTTATTGGTCAAAAAAGAGAAAACACAAAACTGAGTTAAAGATCAATTTCACCGATCTTCTATTTTCCCCCATATTGCTATAGATATTGGGCTAATATCGTTATCGTAAATTCTTTTGGCCATGATAATCTTGTAGTGAAAACCTGATATCATCATAGCCCTAGTTCCAATCAGCTCTGAAATCAACCACAGAAACTTTTCTGCGACACTGTTTGATCCATTGACTAATGCTGTTAATGCTATGATTTTTATTCAGCTTGTTGATTTGCTCTCCAGCTTTTAAAGTCTTTCCGTCAGTTTCAGTCGACCTTGAATGCGCACAGGTAATGAACACACCCCTAATGGCCACCATCACTTCAGCTGTCAGAAGGAACAGCACGGAGAGGGTCATCTTGTGAGTTAGACTGAACACTGACACACTCCGGAGAATAGACAAGGTTAGAGAGTTAAAAGGCTGTCAACGCTGTTTACATTGCTTGCACTGCTGTACGTACCTTTCTGCTTTGGAAAAAAAAAACTGCATCATGATTCTCAAAACCAAAATGCAGAGGCTTAAGCTTGTTGCCAAAGTTATGAAAGGAAAATCGTGCAAGCATAAGACGGCACAGAGAACTTTTGACTACTGACAGGACAGAGGGCTTCTATTTAAATATCACTTCACTGACACTGAAATTGACACTGTACAATAAGACTTTCCACATTTGAGATGTTTCTTTTATTTGGATAAGAAAACAACTGTATATGTACACGATTTAGGATTCTTCAGTTGTTGTGATGAAGGAAAGAAAGCTGTTTGGGGATTTCGGAGCTTTAGCTTGATCTGACTTAATCGTTCTTTGATCTTGCATTGTTTAGCTGCTGTTGTATGCTTGATTATAAAATCTCAATAAAAAAAAATGCCTTTGCATCTGCCGTTCTCTGCCAGAAAACAGAGCATGAACTCAGAGATTAGCATGTTTAAGATAACACTTGAGCTGGCGTCCTCCCTGTTTTACATACTGATGCATTGCTTGTGCCCTGCATTATCACCAACACTTTGAAGGTATCAGTGGAATTACGGCGTTAAGAATCCAATGCTGAATCAATTTCATTCACCAGGCGGAGTTAGAATTTTGGTGGATGGGAAGTAAGAGGACCCCATAAAAGACACCCGTGTTAAAAATTCCAGCAACACCTGAATGTTTACACTGTGGCGAGGAGATAAGAGTGTTTGTGCCTGCCTCGCTTTAAAGTTTGGGGTTTCTAATTCATGCTTATAGAGTGAGAATGTGGCTTAGAAGTGGATTTGGTGATGCATATTTTCATGTGTTTGATCTTCTCTGGGGTCAAAAATAAAAATAAAATTCACATTTGAATAGATTTATCTATACTAAGGTTCTGTGGTTGAATTGTACATTTTCAACAGCACATGCTGTTTTCAAGCGCTTCAGAAGTGGTGGAAAACAGCTATTTTACCTTCAGAGACTACAAATAGTTTCTTTTCTAGAACAGCAAATGCATAGTTTACATTGAAGTGTTTACTCCTAAGCACCGAAACATCTTTGATGAAGATGTGTGTATGAGGCACAGCTTTAGAAGATACAGACCTGCGAGCTCGACGGTGGCTGTGGCGTTTACGTCCTCTGCGTTTCACGTGTCCATTTTTCTCGTGGGTTTTTGCAACTGCATCTTTCTTTTTCGCTTTCTCCTCATCATCTTTAGGCGCTAGGCTAACTACTGTTTCCAATCTGGAAGAACAGAATAACAAAAATTCTTTAGCATCAAATATTTTACAGTCAACAGGTTGTTAAATAATATGTGACCCTGGAGCACAAAACCAATCATAAGTAGCACAGGTATATTTGTAGCAATAGCCAAAAATACATTGTATGGGTCAAAATTATACATTTTTCTTTTATGCCAAAAATCATTAGGATATTAAGTAAAGATCATGTTCCATGAAGATATGTTGTAAATTTCCTACCGTAAATATATCAAAACTTGAAAGTACCGTAAATATATCAAAACGTATTTTTTGATTAGTAATATGCATTGCTAAGAACTTCATTTAGACAACTTTAAAGGCAATTTTCTCGATATGTTGATTTTTTTTTTTTTTTGCCCCCTCAGATTCCAGATTTTCAAATAGTTGTATCTCGGCCAAATATTGTCCTCCTATCCTAACATACCATACATCAATGGAAGGTTTATTTATTCAGCTTTCAGATGATTAAATCTCAATTTCAAAAAATGTACCCTTATGACTGGTTTTGTGGTCCAGGGTCACATATTACTTTTTTTGTGTTTCCCTTTTGTAAAGTTTGGGCAGTTATGCAATGATCTTAAATAATTATACATGTAGCTCAGTAATGAAATTGAAATACATTGTTCTGAAGGCATGAAAAAAAAAAGCGGAAGTAAGCCTATGGGCGAGACTTCCGGATCATTAACCGCTAAAGGTAAATAACGACAAGAATAACAACGTGCAGTAAACGGTAAAACTGTTTGCACTACAAACCAGTGTGTTCATAATTAAGATAATACATAAAAACAATATAGTAAGACACACCAATTTTGCTGGACGCAGAAAAAACTGGACGCAGATGAGTCCGGAAACTAGACCCATAGAATTTATGGCAAGAAAAAGATGGATAAATGCACTCATGTTTGAGGAAGCAGGTTGGGTTTGGTTCTCTGCTGAGAGACATTGAGCATTTTCATGTTTCTCTCCTAGACCTTCATAAATGCAGAGGTCATCTGCTCAGCATTCAAATGAGGTGTCAACAGAGAAGCCTTTATTTACACGCCTCAGTTGAACTGACATTTCTGAAATTATTTGTGCGTATCCCAAGGTTGTAAGGAGCATGGTTTGGAAACTCGAGACTCGTATGTGCTCGTCTTTCTGTACATGGAGCAGAGTAAAACGAGTGATATGTGTATCCTTCATGATCTGATATTAAAACTGAAAATTTCACACTAAAGTCATTGCAAAATATATTTTTCATGCTGTCTTATAATTCGCTGATTGCACCCAGCCAGGCTGAAAAATGTAATAATTGGTTGACATAAAAAAACGGAGTAATTCGGTTTGTGTTAGCTATATAGCATAGTACTTACTAAAAAGTAAATTTTCAGGGAGATCTCTTTTGTATTCATAGGTATTTTATGTGAAGTGTGCATATTTTCGATCACTTGTATAAACAGTGAAATGTACAATATCAGTGTACTGACAACCTCAAAACATAAATAATTTTTAGATGTACAACTTTAGAGGCATACAGATCTTTATGGTTAAAATAAATATTGTTAAAATATATAAAATGACAATAAATATATTTGTATTGGCTTAACTTGGATAAAATTAAAATATATCTCTAGAATCACACTTTACAAATACTAAAATAAAATTGCTAAACAGTAGATTTAACAGTAAAACTTCTGTTTAACGCTCTGCTCTATTCTCAATCAAAATGTGTCCGATTGAAACGGCACTTGAGCAAAGACAGACCCAGGTGATTCAGCAAAGACCTCTTCTTTTCCTGTAATTGCCAGGTTCCTTACAAATAGTTTGAAAATAAATGCATAAATAAAACTGATTGCTAGAGCTGTGTAAGTAGGCCTGACTTGATCTCTGTGGCATAATTACAGATCCACCACTGGAGTGTGAGAGTAGTGTGTGTTGCTGTGCGTTTGTACATGAGTTTGTGTGTCTGAGTGCCTGCATGGTGTGTGTGTGTGTCTGATTGTAATGAGAAGTTAATCAGTCTTGCAGATTAAATGCTGATTGCCTCTCTCTCTCAGCAGCAGGAGGAGGCCTGCCTTCTGCCACCTCTGGATAAGAGAGGGCAAAGCACAATCACGTTATTAATGTCAACCTTCCGGCACCGCAGCCCTACACGGCCCTCCAGTGTGCCAGTACGTGATTGGAAAATACACCGGCCTGCTGGGTATAATAGGGGAGAGGATTACAGATGGTGAAACACTGAAAACGTGTTGGTGTGAGGGCAGCTGAATGACCCAAACATCAAAGTTCAAGGAAAAATCTGTGATTTCAAATTAATATTTTATTTTTTTCATTTTTATGGATTATGGCCAGAAGCAATGGTTTATAGTTATAATGCCCTAATGATGAACTTGTTTCTAATGAACATGCAGCTTTTCACTTGACAAGATGTTAAATGATGGACTAGAGATGTGTGGACTGCTTGTGGATTAGTTTGGACTCTCATTCTGACGGCACCCATTCACTGCAGAGGGTCCATTGTGGTGAGCAAGTGATGGAATGCTACATTTCTCCAAATCTTTTCCAATGAAGAAACAAACTCGTCAACATCTTAGATGTCCTGAGGGTGAGTAAATCTTCAGCAAATTTTCATTTTTGGGTGAACCATTACGTTAAAGTAATTTATAAGAACGTTCCTAAATGCAATTCTTGAAAAAAATCCAAAATCCAAAGTTTTGTCTTTAGATGAATCTTAAGAAACAAGCAAGGAACATTCATAGAAAATGCATGGGAAAACAAAATATTCTGAACTTTATTCTTAAGTTAGAAATTAAGAAGAAAACAGCAGTTAAGAAGAATTTTATTCTTAAGAATGTTTTGTGAATCTGGCACCTTGGTGACCAAAAAGAAGAAACCTGCTGGGATACAGCAACAACAATCAACTCTAGCTCAGGAGGCAGTGACTATTACAGCCTTCCGCTGTAATAGAATATTTCTCGTCATTTTCCACGGACTTCTTTAAACCCAGACTCTTTCTTACTGGCCGTCAGCTAGAGATGAGAGCTTTAAATGAAATTGATTTCCCCATCACTGAATGACTTTTCTCTGATCAGCTTCAGAATTTATGGAAGAACTTCTCCACAGGGAGTCAGATTTATGGTGCGCTGTTTATATCTGTCTCAAACACGCGCATACACGCGCACTTGCATCGGTTTGGGCTTGCTAACTTTCAAAGCTGTCTTGAGTGCTTGTAATCCATTACTCTGGAAAGTACAGACCATTTGAAGGGTCTAAATGGAACTATTCAAAGTTCACAGCAGGGAAAAGCTTTCTAGCAAATAATAAGCTGCAGATTTTAGCTGCAGAACATTTACTGTAGAACTGTTCAGACACTTCAGCCTTTCTGTCTGTTAGCAGTTATGGAATGGAGACTTCTTTGGTTTAGCTTGATTACAAAAATAACTATCATTGCCAATCATGAGGAAATATATTTTCATACAAATATTTTCATGTTAAATGTGTTGCTATGCAGGTTACAATGTTGCTCCAGATAGTTGCTTTCAGGTTCAAGTGAAAAGAGCCCACCAAGCATATATATTCATTGATATTTATCATTTATAATGTTTGCTGTATATTATTGATACAAACACTCTTTGACAATCCGAGCAATCAAACAGAGTGGGATGAATAACACGTCGAAGTTTAAAACAAAAAAAAATATATATAGTATAGAAAACTAAAGTAGAAAAAACTAAAGTATAGACTTCTAAACTAACTTTGCACACTTTGCACATCAAGCAAAGACTGTTCACCACTGCATTCCACTTTCAAGGACAGATGGGCATGTGAAATATTTGTATAGTTTTCAATGACTTAGTTTTAGCCGTTTTCATTGTTCTAACACTAAAACTGCAGATTAACCAAATGCTAAAATCCCTAACCCTATTCAAAATTTACCTTAGAAATCACCAATAATAAATCATTTTGATTAAAAAAATAAAAAGGTTTATGACAACTACAACTTTGGGCCTATAAAAAACATTGTTCATATTAATAAACAGGAAAAGGCACAAGACAATATTAACTGGCAAGCAGGGACTATAAAGTGCTGTAAATGTAGGGCCATGTCCTGTCCATGGTGTGCTGTTTGTGCTGTTATGTGGGTCTCAGTGGCAGTCTAATGGCAGCTCTCCAGGTTGTGTTGATGTGTTTCTGTTGTCGTGAATGAGTCACGGCTCCTAGCTTGGGTCTCCTCACTGCCACTGTCATATGACACTGATACCGGTGTGATGGCAGAAAAAAGCAGGGGGTGGAAGGGAAGAGAAAGGAGCGTGATCCAGAAGGAGAAGGCAGATGGCTCAGGATGCACACAAACACACAAAAAGGTGGGCGGGAGGAATGCCACTTCTTTGCAAAGATGACAGAACACACACACACACACACACACACACACACACACACACACACACACACACACACACACACACAGGCGCACAAACAAACACATAGGGTCTGTTTCCACCTGCTGTTTTTTTTTTGTGTGTGTGTGTGATCTGATTACAAGTGGTCAGCAATAAATACAGGTGGAAACAGGGTTTTGTGACCAGATCATTGAAACCACATCCAGAGGTAAACTCGTGACCACATCCAATTTTGAGATGATGCACCGAGTATATTGTTCACTTTTCTTTTCTTACGTGATCATTCTTAAGATCAGGTGTAAACAGAGCCATTGAGACAAAGCCAATTCGTCAAAAACATACACAAACACACACTCTTCTTTGGTGATTCAAGGTCAGCAGTCACAAGGATAGCAATCAATGCCTCAATCAGACTTAACAACAGCTACTTTTACACACACCCGTTACACTTAGAGGAATCAGTTTATAATCAGACTGCTGGCTCAATCAGATTGAAAAGCCTTCAAGTCAACACCTCAATTGAACCAAGTGATATTTCAAATGGGTTGAAAGAGGTGGTGTTGACCTGAAATAATCCGATCAACGGGAAAAATCAAGCATGTAA